AATATTTAAATACTAGCTTTATCATATATATGATACAAATATTATTTGCAGCTAAACTTTATTTGTACTTGCCCACGATTGTTCCACTAATAATATGATGTGCAGAGTAGCGCATTAACAGCTCCATTTTTTTTTCTTTCTTTTTTTCTCTCATTTTTTTTTTATTATTATTATTTTACTTATTTATTTCTGGAGATTTTTTTGTTTGTTTATATGTGTATATATGTATGTGTGTGCACGTATATATACATATATATATATATATAGCCTGCATAGAAATGTATATTGGTTAGGATTGGGCCACAGACTAGATTAGTTCGGATGATGAAATTATTATTATTATTATTATTATAAGATTACTAGAATTGTTATTATTATTGGTGAAATAAATCATATCATATCGTGTGAACTTATACAACAAACATCATATTGTAAATAGTTTATGTCTACTCTTATATAAAAAATGACATGCTTTCATGCACAATGGAATTCACAAATCAAAACCTGAATGTTATGTACTTACTTGGTTCATCCAATCGGAGTCCAACATATATCTTGTGGTCCACATATCCCCTGTCAACTTTACCGACAAATCTTACTACGCCAGTTAAAGGTGGTTTCTCTGCATCCTTGTCTGAAAATATATAATTTTTGATAAATTAATATAATAATTAATCATACAGTCAGTGTCATTAGACACTCATGCTCCAATTGCTTTTTAGTGGTGTGTGTGAGAATTTTTTTCAATCAAAATTGACTTTTCTCACAGTGGATGTTTATGAATCATATGGTTTTTCTGTTATTTCAGATTGAGTGTGAAAAAACTTGAGCTTGTAATACTATTTGCAATAACTCCATTTTGGAATATGAAAACACTCCATCATTTCACAATGACACTGCATATTGTCTTGAAAAAAAAAGATTTTGGTATTTTAGATAGAAAATATGTTTCGGTTAGTGTGGCTGTAGTTGTGTGGATGAAAATACCTTTATTTTTACTGTACTTGTCTTCCTGTTTGAATGTTATCCTATCTCCAACATGTAGATAATGTGCTCGCATCCAGTCTTCCTCTAACACAACACTTCCCGGTGGTAAATGTACATGTCCTGGCTTGCCACCATTTCTAATCGACGATGGTGATGGCGATCGCCGATGGAAACCAAGTGAAGTGTGTGGTCTGCGGTTGCGGGTCTCGTTGGACGGTGATTCCCAGTCTTTTTGATTGGCCATTTGTGGTTTGACGATTGCTGTTTTCACACGTCTTTTTGGTGAATTTGATAATTGTTCCTGTTTTGGCGGTTCCGTACCTCTGTCACCAGACGTGCTACTTTCGAGACGTTGCCGTTGTTCTATATTTGTAGAGTTTGTGTACGGTGGGCGGCTGACATCCAGCTGCTTGTTGATTGGATACTGCTCATAGCAACAAATGAAATAAACAAGAAGTTTTCATTTGTGCAAATCATTTAGTACATGTTTGTTTCATCTGACCATGGTTACTAATGTAGCAACCGTGATATAGATAACTATAGAGTCACGTGTTTGTACCGGGTATTAAAGGAAACTGTATCATGGGTAGTGTAGTGGTGGTGTTTAAAGACCTTAAAAGGTTGACAAAAAACTCAGTGTGCTGCAGACTCAATGGGCTGATTGATTTGACTTGGGAGAACCTTAGTAAATGTTCGCAGGTGCCCGTGGTTGACCAGGACGCCTGTTTGACAAAAAAAAATGGTCAATCAAATTGCCATAATGTCATTATGAAGGGAGGATGGTCACGTGGCAAAATACGCTATATATTGGCACAATTTGCACATGAAACGAAAAATGATTGTTGTGTTACCATAGTTGCCATGGTAATGTATATTATGCATGTTTGATGCAGTATTGAGGTTGTCATTGTGTTTAAGATGTACTGTACTAAGTTACCTTATGAACTCTGTGATGAGTTGGTGATGAGGATTCCACCATGCCATTCTGTTGAACACCTTTATTATAATTATTGCCATCTGAGTTGTAAGTTGAGCTTGATGGGCTATAGTTGAAATCAGAACATTTGAGAAATCAATAGCAAAATCAAATATTCTCAGAATAAATCTCTCTCTGATTTCTATTTTAGGCGGTCAATTTTGTAGTGTAATTACAAGTATCTGCTTTGTTGCCTCCAATGCTTGAAAACAAAATTTGAATCCTCACTGATTTCAAACTATAGATGGCGCTATTTTTATTTGAAACCTTTCAAGTGACTCGCTCACTCACAATTGGATTAGAATCATCTTTTATTATCTACTTTACTCCAGAAGAGCAGCCTGAAGAATGAATTTACTGCCTTATTTATTGACACTTTTTCAATTTCTCAAAAAGCTAATTTTGTGTTGTCTAGTCTAATTTTGTGCATGATTTTTAATTGTACAATAGTTGTTGGCAAAATTCTTCAAACTGCAAACATTTGAAGAGGCAATGTAGATTCCAACTATAGATACCATTAAATGCAAATCTGCATGAACCCTGGAATTACCTACATGTATACATATAGGTACTTTTGTTACTGCATTTTTTTTACTTCCAAAATAAAACCCTATTGTTTTTGTCACCAATTTTCAAATTTTCAAAAATACCACATTGCCTCTTCAATATATTTCAACTGTCATTCAAACCAATTCCTTTCATCTGCTGGTCCAGGAGTTCCACACAGCAAAGTATATTAATTACAAGGGATGATAGTGCGTAGTTTTTAAATGCCATAGTTACCTTGAATCTATGTGATTAATTTTTAAATGTGCACCAATAGGGTAGGTTGCTATGTACTTAGACCAGACGTCTCCGTTCATTTGATCTTTAATATTCTCAAGTTCCTGTGTCTTTTGTACAACAAGACTGTCTTTTCCGATCAACAATTTTTTCAGCGTCAAGATCTCGTAATGCGCCATTCTCAACTCTTCTTCCAAATCAGGAATCGTGCTCACCTCAGCTTCCAAACTCTGCAATGATTTTACAAATTGATTTTTATGCAAATTTGAATTTATACTGAAATTCCTTCTCTGATGGGATTGGTTGACCAAAGAGAAAGTGACATGTAACATATTCTCTGATTGGTTGCTGAACACGATTGGATAGTCATGTGGTCAGATGTAGTATAAACAGTATTGCCCAGATTGAGCCTCTAATTATGTTGTATTTCTATCAGACTAAATCCAGCCTCAGATTGGGAAGGAAAACACAGCTGTGACAATTGCTGTATACTTCTTACAATGTCACTGTGATACTTGGTGATGTCATTGGCATAACTTGGTGATGTCATCACACAGCTTGGTGATGACACAGCGATACTTGGTGATGTCACTGCATAACTTGGTGATGTCATCACACAAGTGTGTAATTACCTGTATTTTGTTTCTTTGGTCCTTTATTGTTTGCCTGGCTAACGACAACTGAGCTTTTCTCTCTTGTAAATGTTTTTTACTCAATGCAAGTGTTTCTTTGGTTTCATCCAACTCTTTTTCTAGTATTGGCACAACTTCAAGTTCCTAAGGAAAAAAAAAACATTCTTGTTTATTGTGTTTATGCGTTATGCTGGCAATGATACTTCTAATGGTTACTATGTAATTTGTGACTATACCGTGAAGATGAAATAAGATTTGAGTTTGTTTCTGTTTGAAATTAACCATGGTACTTACCGTTTCCAATAATTGATTTCTCTTGACTTCGTCGCGCACCTGTTCATTGAGGTCACTTATTCTGGTGTTTAATTCTGCAATGCTTTCCCGGGCGTTACTAAGTTGTTTGTTGGTGTCCTCCAGGCTCTGTTTCAATGTCCTGATTTCCATTTCTTTGTCCCTTACATTGGTTCTGTGAAGGATATCGACAACGATACTATGTATGTAGTTGTATGCATTTCCAGCTCAATCTTCAATGGATGGGAATGAACATGACTAACATACATGTACTTGATACAGAACATTTGCATAATTCTCTGAAGGATTTAAAGTGTGGAGGTAGTCGCAGCATGTCTTGTTCGTGTACAAGTCCAAAGCGACTCATAAAATACATTTGTATTGTTTATATAAACCTGAACAAAAAAACTTGGCATACCCAAACTAGTTTTTAAATACATTGAATATTTGTTGCATGAATTTTAACAAATTTTTGTTTCAAAATGGCTGTCAGTGTAGAACGTTACACTATGTTTGGAAAATCAAATTATTCAAGAATAAAAATTTATTGAACGTGAGAACAATGTAAAAACCTTTGTATTTTGATGCATCAGCATCTGAAAAATCAGAAATATTACGAAAAAAACAAAACAGGAATATTTGATATCACTTTATAATAATATCCATGCTTACTGGCTTCCTTTGAGAACCTCTCTCAGTTGCTCTAATTGCATTTCAGTTTTCTCAACTTCAGAAACTGAAAAAACAAACAAACAAAAATCATTTTGTTAATAAATTGTTCTACTTATCGCACAGGTACAGCTAGCATGTAAAACATTCTGATTTGTTTGTAGTCTTTTCTATTGTTTCAAATGTGTGCTAAAGTCCAGTCAACTATCATGTGATCAAAAAAGATGGACGCCACATTTTGGTTCGTTGATGGTAGAATTCTGAATGTGTTCAGCAATTCGAGTCGTAAATAAATTAGAATACTGTCAACACAACAAACCCATTCTCTTTATTTTATAAATATTTATACATTTTACAATTCAAACTTTCTATTGGTCAATTGAACATTTTCAAATGACATTTCACACTGGTTGGATTATGAAAAAATAAAATTCTTTTATATTGTGCGCTTCAATTAAAGACACCAAATTTCTAACTTCCCTAGTAATTAAACATTTCATGCAGTGGTGTTATTTATTTATTTTTACTTTTATCTTTATTTTTACTTCTCAACTGAATTGCGCCAAATTTGCCGTCTACCCTAGTATTTCAAGACCATGAAACTTGAAGTAGAAATGATCCTAGATTTAAAAGTATATATTTAGCAAAGTTTATAAATAGATTTTATTAGTTTATTTTAAACCCGAAATTAGAAATGTGAAATGTTTTATACACGGTTGCAATCAAATGAAGTTTTTATCTACCTATCAATATATCCGATTTGTGTTAAATTTACCATGTATAAACTCCAGAACTATTAATCTACTTTGAAATGCCCAAAGCAATTTAACATCTTTTCAAGTTTGTAGAGTTGCATTACAAATACTGTATTCCAAAAGCAAACAGGTGGCGGCTGTTTAAGATTCAGAGATAAAGCAATAAAATAGGTATGTCTGCAGTATTTATCTAGGCTGTGATGTTTACATATTGCACAGAATATAACTGCGAGTGATATATCCAGTAATCGCCGACATTCTATGCGTGGGCTTCACTTTTCAAATGAAGTCAAAATAACCTTGGTGCCATAGTGTCTCAAATTGGCATATAAATACGCGGCATATTAAAGTACGGTATGACCTCACATTACTCGTAAATTATGAATAACGCTTGGTCGGATTTAAAGACGATATTGGAAGACATTATTTACAGTGTAACAATGATGTTCCCACCAACTATCCGTTAATTATCTTTCGTTTACAATACGTTTGGTTCCAATTACTGGCCATGTACAAAGACTGCCTCACCTTCTATTGTTATCGAGTGACTTATTAGCATAACAATTCAATCCTTGTTATATCTTATTGTTCTCTTGTTCAAAAACATCCTTTGATTTATAGGTTTTTATTTGATAGAATAGAAAGAAAAAACCTTCACTGGAATTTTTGAACGCACCTTTTGAAAATCTTTGTTTTTCTCCACTGTTATTTACGCTATTGTAAACTTTCTCGATTTCCTTTTTTTAGACAATAGTTATAAAACGTTTGAACAGATTTGGAAACAACCTTTAGGGTGGGAAAGTCGTTGACCTCACTTTCAGCTGTTTTTTTTTTTTTTATAAACTCACCTCGCAACTCCAGGTTTTTAATTCGTAGTTGATTGTACGTCTGTTCTCGCTGTAGCGTTTCAATCTGTCTACCTTTCTTTTCATTCTGTTAATAAAAGTAACACATTAAAAAACTTAACGAAGTGAAGGATTTCAGGTCCTTTGAGTGAGATGACATGCATGTATGTCTGTCTCTCAAAGTCAAAATGGGCGTAAGAAACAAGATCTGTTGAATATTGAATCTGTGTTTTCTTTTGTTGGTCCTGCTAGATATGAGACGGTTTCTACATTCTCAATACAAACTTAAGTTGTTTAGTAACAGCTCAGCTGATGTCACTGTGTAGATATTTTGATATTTTTAAGTTTAATTTGTTTCCCATGTTGCACATCCATCGAGTTTTTCATTGGAAACTGAATCCTTGATGATCATATCAGGTAATTGTGTAGTCTTGTATGACTTTTATTACATGCCTATACTTTCACTTGGATGCTACACATGATTCCGGGGTATTTTTCAGTTCAGTGAATCTTGTATGGACTGTTGTTATTTATACAGACTAAGGTATTCCTAATGTATCAAACAGTTCACAATGACAATCACTGGCTAAGTTCAAACAGGGTTTTGTTAACGGTGATGTCTGGGATTATATTGAAGAGTAAAGTTCATTTACATTACCTAACCATGTAGTGATAATATTACAGACTGAGTGGCAGTTGTACAGCAGGGGAATAACATTTAATATTTCATATTTGGGCAGTAATATCATTTTGAAGGGTACTTACTAGACAGTCAAGTAGATATTTGTGGTAATAATTGGTATTTATTATACATCTGTCACCGTAATGCCACAAGTTACAGTGTACCGTGGTTTTGCGGTATTTTACGGGGTATTTTCATCTTACCATATTAAGAAATGCGACTCAGATACATACACAGACTGCGCAACCAATAGGAATCGTGCTCTTCGCTGTGTGACACTGCGATCCTGTCGCAGAGTGCAATAATCGACATTCGGCGAGTCGCACAATCGCGTCGCAGAGTTAGTTTTTAGATCCCCATACATACATGTATAATTTAGTAAGTTTCCAGTGTGATAATAGTTTTACCTTATATACAATGGGAGGTTATCTCCCACAATGCATTGCATGTATGTGCAGTAAAATGTTCAGTTGGGAAAACTTAGAATTTGGTTTAAACTTTCAAAGTAAAAATAAAATTTACAGTAGTCATAGAATTCACTACCCCATGCTGTACATAGTGTCCTGTATCACTATAATTATATATTCATCAGCTTTTACAAACATTTGTTCACCCACAACTCTAAGCACTTAAATTAAAAGGGTGGATTAACTCGTGGTAATACACCACCTTGTAAGTGCCCTCATTCTATTTATAGCTAACCTGTACATAGCAACGCATACTTACATCATTCTTAATTCTTTCCAATATTCGTCCATGTTTTTCGTTTGATTTCACCACTGCTTCGTGTTTCACTTGCAGTTCGCTGTGTTTCGATTGCAGTTCCTGTTGGGGAAATTAAATATTAGACCATGGCGTCCGAGTGCATATTAAATAATCACAATATTAACCTAGAGCCGCGCTCAGTAGCGTTGCCTGGACCAGACTTTTATGGTTGCTAAGTGATGGTGGGGGCGAATGGATTTGACAAGTGTGATGCATCAGAGTCTTTGTATAATACTCTGACTATAACTTTCAATTCGTGTTGTTCAACTTTTATCAAGTGTACAGTTAATATCAATTTGATATTGGTGGTGGACATAGGTTTTTGTCACTTGTCAAGAAAATTTAGTTGACATTGATGTAGCTCTCTTGAGAGCTTTCATAGAGCATTATTGTCGTCTTGTGAAATGTTTGATGGTCTGTATCTGTGTGCATTGCGGTGGAAAAATGAATTTCCGAATTACTTCTGCCCATAGTCATTCGAAAGAGGCATGGATCTTCACTTGTTGCAAGGAATACCATTCAAAAAAATTCAAATACATAATCAAATGGATAGACAGAAATGATCGCCAGCATTTAGATGTGCTGAAAAGCCTGGAAATTTGACTTTTATGATACAATTCCTACAATTCGCACAAATGCAAACCAAAAAAAAAAAATATTTACACTTAGTCTAATTTTTAATGATTCTGATTTAAAGTATAAAATTTTTGTAATTTAATTTGTGCACATGTAAATGCCAGCTTTTATTTATAGCCCAGTTATATAACAAAATAATATATTGTACTGTGAAATATTTTTAGCTGTTTTTTAGAAGTTTCTTTAGGATGTTTTGTATGGAATTTATTTTCACTGATTTTTGATAAGTTGAATGTAAAATATTTGAAAAAGGTATATTCGCTGGATTTTATTGTCACTGAATCATTAGCGAAAATATAATATTTTACAGTAATGTATTTATGGGAAGAAAATCAATGAAACATTTGCATATACCAGCAAAATTTATTCTTGTATACCTGAGGATGGATGTGACTAACAAGTAAAAAAAAATGCATGAAACTTTAAAAGTATGGTACTACAAATTATTGATGTTTTGCTCAGTGAAATATTCAATTGAATAATTGCTGTCAGAAATTAAAATGATCCTAGAACATATAGTCTTGATAGTGTTGAAATTTACAATAAATGAAAAAACGTCTGGGGGAATAATATCAAGAAGTAAATTAGAAATAAAATGTCAACATAGATCCCATAATTACAAGTAAAAGAATTCATTGTTAATACTGTATCTTGTATGCCTAACAACCGACAATGGTGTGATATTTTTTCAGATCTGTTGTCACCTTTAACGGAATTATATGATGATTAATAGTCTCAATTCAGGGTTCAACTCTGTTTGATGTTTTGATATTAAATCAGGGCAGATAAATCAGGTTGATCCACATTGTTTACATAGTGCTGACCCTTTAGGAGAATAAATACGCATAGCCTAGATACGTAGTGATCCACGCCTGAAATTCACACAGCGATCCATGCCTGTAATAACGTGTGATAGTAAAAACTGATAATGACAAATTATATATTGGCAAACAGCATTTGGTTTCAAATATTGATATTGATTAGGTAACTGATCAAATCAAATAAAATTATAAGTAATTTGTCTTTAAAATGACATTATTATTAAGAATTTTGATCAATAAATTGATTTAAATAATTGTTGTATTTATATCTCTGGACATAAATATAAAGATAAAATAACTGTTGCGCTGTGTAGCTTTAATCAATTAATACTTGTCTATGTTGATTCCTTCCTCTAAATTGCTTCTCATTGGATTTCGCGGCATACAAGTACATACGTACCTGACGATTAGCCTTCTCTTGTTCCAATTCTTCCTTAGCGTTCTTGAGATCTTCTTGGGTGGATTTCAACTGTGCCATGACTTCGTACTCCCTAGAAGATGGAGATTTGACCCGTTTTGAGTTTCGTCTTCGGTTTGTCCATGGACCTGTGGTACTTCCGTGACTTGACATTATGGTGAACACAATTTTTACTTAAAAATACTGAGTCTCAAATTAAAGCCAGCTCACGTTGACCGCTGGTCAATTGGTGTTGTTCAAATGTAATGACTAAATGAATTATATTTTTTGTCTCTATGATCTGGTTTTGTCAAATCCCCAAACACAACACAGTATTTTTTTTTAGCGTTCAAGGACGGAACAGGTAGTTGACGACCAACAGTGTATACATCCTGCTAGCGACATTAGAAGTACAACCGCAAACAATGACAATGTTATCTATGTCGATATCCAAACAAAATACTTTAGTCCGCACCAAACACCATTGGTTGGAGACAAACAGCTATAACGTATTGGTCGAACACAATATATGTAAAATGGCTATCTTCTCAATGGAGAGGACAACAGTCCCCTTTTGAATGGAATCACATAGCATGAAATGAACAACTAAAGCAAACAATTGCAGAGTGCTTGAAAATGGATTGTAGGACTGAGGGCGCATGCACGGCTACTGCATAATTGATTGTTTATTGCCAAGATACGTTAGACAGCTTGTGCAATGAATCTTGATGATGGTAGCAACCTGTACGTTTGCTGTTAAGAATCAAATTTTCATGCATGGGTTAAGACGATTGATCATTGATTTGATTGATTTGCTGATAATTTTCTTTTTGAAGTTTGCGGTAATTGTGTTGGTTATTCAGGTTTAAGGGTAATAGGTAAAATTGAAATTAACATGTGGTAAGTAAAAGTTCAAAGGTCAGGAAAATTGAAATCAACAGATTATAATAGTTTAAAGATCAGAAAAAATTAAACTCAACAGGTGATTTTTAATACCGGTAGTTCAAAGGTCAGAAAAATTGAAATCAACAGTAGGTAATTAAAGGTTCAAAGGTCAGGGAAATTGAAATCAACAGTAGATAGTAAAAGGTTCAAAGGTCGGAAAAAATGAAATCAACAGGTGCTTTTTAATAGTTAAAAAGATTTGACCCACTTATGATGAAAGTTGACTTGGGTATTTTCAGTATTAAAATTGTTGTGTTAGCTCTGCATCCAGTCTTGCAATAATATTTCTGATTTAGTTGTGAACTTTTATAGTAATTTTAATTTTGCATCAGTAGTATTTTGGGATAAGGGTTGATGTGTCTACAACTAATAGAATTGCAGAACATTGAAATACACTACAAATTCTTTCATCAAATCAATAAAAAAAGATCAAAAAAAACAAGGGGATACCCAAATTTGTTTCCATGGATACAATGACTTTGTGTTAAGCTTTCTTTGGCAGTTATTTGGTCAAGATACACACGTCTGAGGTTGATAATTTAAAAAATAGTCTGAGGTTTCCCCAATTTCATTGTAAGTTGAAAGTGTGTTAGGGATTGACTATTTGAAATCATGGGGATGCCTGGAAGATTAGATTGAAAAAAAAGATTGCAAGCTATACACCGAAAGAACAAACAATTGAGAAAAATAAAAATGTACAATTAAGACATCAAAACAAAAAATGCACTGGTCACACTATTTTAGCCACCCCCATGATTTAAAAATGGTTTACTGTAGAATACTTTATTTTCGCTTGGAATTCCTTTTCACTATTTTCGCTGATTCCGTGAAAATAAAATCCAGCGAATATACTTTTTTTCCTATATTTCACATCAAACTAATCAAAAACTAGTGAAAATAAATTCCATACAAAATGTCCAAAACGCCTTTTCAGCGAAAATTAATTCCAGCAAAAATAAAGTATTCCACAGTATTCCTTTTGAATACTGGGTATATGCTTACCTAATGCAGTGGTCACACTATTTCAGCCACCCCCATGATTTAAAAATGGTTTATTCCTTTTGAATACTGGGTATATGCTTACCTGTTTTTTTGATATCTAGATGGTGATCTTATCTGATAATCTTTGTCATTCTTTTACACATCCTATGAATATAAATTAAAAATAAGTTTAATTTGAAACAAATTTGCCTTTCAAGATTATTTGGTACTATTTTTTTTGCAACTGCAAGTTTCTGTAACAAACTATCTCAACTATTCTGAGAGCATTAGGGATGGCGTCAAAAGATCGATGTTGGATAAAAAACTTAATTCCTTTAGTTTTTTTCCAAACCCCCCTACCCCCCACTGAAACTTAATTGATAAATATTGGTCATGGCGTCAGACTACATTCACCATTAAATACAAATTGATAATCGGACAGTAGTATTGCATAGCAGTTGGTTGTCGGGTGGGTGTAAAAAGAGTTTACAAATGCACCTCATTTGACGCACAGATTTACACTCGAACCAAACCATTTTTCTGTGTTTTGTTCCCTTTTCGGTTATTTCTGTCCATGATTGGATAGAACTACAAATACTCCAAGATTTTTTTGACTTCATTAAAAATAAAATCGTTTTTGTAGGATGGAAACTTTTTGAGGTCAAAACCCCCCACCCCCAAACTAAAGGAAATAAGTTTTTTATCCGACATCGATCTTTTGACGTCGTCCCTTAATAGAACACTTTATTGGGGTATTTGCATGCGCAAGGATGTGGCATATTTCATGGTCTGATGATTGTTTTGGTTTTCCTATTTGATTGTGCTTTTGAATATAATTAAGTGTTCCAACATGCACGGTTTCACATAGATTCGCTTCTGTTCTGAATGACTGCAAACCAAAGTAATTCAGACAAGGCAAAATCATGGCAAATCCTTTTTTTTTTCTCCTTCGCAATGTTTGCAAAATTAACCACCAAATTTTGTTACGCATAATAGTCACACGACAATAATAAAGCAATGAATGTCGTAAAAGTGCAAGTTTAAAGTTCCCATGAAATTGATCACTGCTACAAATGTTCGTAATTTGCCAAGACAAAATTGTGGATATTGCCTTTCACAAAATGAAAACGTACTGTTTATAAAAAAAAATCAATTGTTTGTTTGACTGTTGCAAATAAAGCATACACACATAAGGGTGTAACCGTAACATTGTATTTAACTGTCCGAAGCATGACGACAAACTGTAACGTTAGAACTTTTAAGTATGCAGTATAAACTTTATTTCTCCTTTTCACATTGCAAAATATCTTCTCGAAACCTGTAAAAAGTTTACAACCCCCCCTCACCTTCTATTCTTGGTCAAATCACAAAGTCGTTGGATCAAGTAAACACTGTGTGGATTCCACTGTTAGAGTCGGTGTAATCGTAACGTTTTTATGTTAACAAAAGTATTAGTGCTTTGTTGTAAATTGATCTGATGGGAAACACCTGTAATCGATTACAGTTGGTCTCGTTAAACCTAAGCCACTATAAGTCCACACTATTAATTATCTATTAATTTCTCATTATTTCCTCTTAATTATAAATGGTCATTAATGTATGGTTACAAGGAAATAAGTAGAAAGATCAATTTTAACACTATTTAAAATTTGTGTTTTATCGGAAAGTTAGACTTCAACTTTAAATAATAAAGGCGAACAGAGGCTTGTGAAGCATGTATGGCCAAAGCATGTATGACAAACAATGAATAACACTGGTTCACCCATTAACACTTTCCTTGTCAATACGTCTGACTCTTACAATGGTAAACTTGCAAAGACGCAAAATGAAAAAAAAAAACAGTTCAAAGGGAAGTTAATGCTTGGTTAGAATAGAATAAAAATAAAAGCGTGACTGGCTGAATCAATCATTTTGATGGAAACATGGAAAAATTAATTGAATATGTAAAAAACGTATGTGGCACTTAACTGTAATTCAAAGTCGATGGTTCTAGGTAACTCTTAAATGGTAATAAAAGAGTCTTTGTTTGAATAAACTGACACCAAAAATTAGGTCAATATTTAAAAATAAATTTTTATAGTATTATAGCTGTTTTGATTACCCGGTATATGTACTTAGGAGGATTTTTTTCTGCAAATTCTTTCGCACTGAAAATATATAATGAATACTGTAAATGCATTAATTTCACTGATTTCCCAGTCTAACAATGTGGTACACTTTGTGAATAATTAATGTGTTTACTGTATCCTATCAGTTTCGTTGTAATTATACCGATAGTTTGTGGTTGAAAATATTATTTTTTTTTTCAAAATGTCTTCAATCGTGATTTATGTGTAAAAACGCTGTACATTAATTTGCATAGGTGATGGATGTTATTGATTGATTGATTGATTAAGGTAATGGTCCTTTTATACAATACCGCCCTAGCTGTTAATTTGCTATTTCCAGTACAATTTCTTATTCTTACTTTGTACTCCCATTACGGTACGTACTGTCAATTTTAGATAAACAATTTTGTTTCTCATTTATTGATGAGTCATTTTTACTTTTCAATATAAAGCACGTGTAATGATTGTCCATGGTTTTTTTTTATTTTTTTTTTATCAATACCTGTATTATGTATATTGTACTTTTGGTCCCAAAATAATGAATATATTATTGAAAAATATTTTAAAATGTGCAAAATGGTTGTTGCTCTAAAATTTTGACTGAATGTTGTAAAAAAATATGACGAAATAACAACTGACACACAAATATATCACCTATCACCAGCATTATTTGTTATGAACATTCATTGTCTAATAATTTAACCACCCCCAGTTGTCAAATGGTTAACCCTTAATTTTAGATTGATTAATTAATTTTAGACAATAGTACATTGGCAGGTTCAAATCAATGACTAAGTGGGGGGGGGTGCATTTCTATGGAGTTGCCATGATAAGCTTAAAACTTCAGCAATTCTAATGTATTATTATTTCTCCAAGCGTTTCAAGACTTTGATCCGATTCTTACTAACCCCTACAAAACCAACATTAGGTAAATTAACTTTCTATTGACCATGTGCTGTTTCTAGAGGCAAGGGATTTTCTATGTGAGAGAGTTATAAAAGACGCTTTCTTATTTTAACTCAGCATACACACAAAGATATATGCCATAATTCATTGTTTGTGGTGTTAAGGTTTCTGAAGGTAAAATCACAAATGGGGGTTATAGAGTATAATGTAATGTCTGACTTATAACCCAAATTATGCTGTTAAAACTGCATTATTCACGTCTATTAGTGACCAAATCAGTTTGTGTGAAAACTACTGTAATATAAATTCATTACCGGTATGATGATTTTTTTAAAAAAAAAAAAAAAAGGAATTGACAAACTGAAGCAAAAT